CACCTGTTGACTGTTCCCCCACTTAGAGGGGTGTGCCCAGCATCAGCCAAAGCCTTGGCCTTTTCCATCATGGCTTTCAGTCTGTGGAACAGACTCCCTGAAGAGGTGAGGCGTGCCCCCTTACTAGAGATCTTTAGAAGGCACCACAAGGCCTGCTCATTTGGCCAAGGCTATGCATAGCTAGTGGGGAGGGAGGAATTTGGGGTTTATGATTTTATTTCGATTTTAACTTGTGGTGTTTTAATTATTACTGCAAGCCACTCTGAGCCAAAACAAAAATAAATGAAGGAATTCTGTCAATGTAGAACGCCAATACATGACATATACCTGACATATGTGCATGACATATATGCAAAGAACTCTTTTTGCATCAGATATGGGTTTAGAAAAGCAAGATTAAATATAGATCAGGATGAAGCATGACCATGCTGGTTGTTATTGCAAATATGGAAGGTCAACCCTACTGGGTAGGTTTAATTGCAATCAGAGAGACAGTCTTAAGAGATGAAAATATAGACATGGAGAGAGGGTTCCCTGATCAACCTAAGGTCAACTAATTGGTGCGACTCCCACTAGTGCAAGACCAAAAAGTTCCCATTAGTGTAAGACCAAAAAGAAGTAGTCAGAGATCTTTGCTCATCCTGCAGAACTACAATTCCCAGGATTCCCTAGAAAGGAGTTACTATTAAGTTACTTACTTTAAAACTGTATTGTGTCCATGCTCTTGTGTGTCCTATCTTTACTGTCTCTGAGCAACATTCCCCTGTGAACAGTGCATGCATGCGTGCTTACTTTCAGGCCCTTTATGAACAATCTTGCTGCATTGACTGTCACCAACAGTCAATGGGAGTTACATGGCATCTAGTTTTTAAAGCACTACACTGGCTTCCAGTGGAGTACAGAGTCAGGTTGAAGGTTTTGGTATTGACCTTCAAGGCCTTGAGCGGTCTGGGACTCATGTATTTTTGGGACCGCTTCCTCTGGTATGTCTCCAGGAGAGTGTTATGCTCTGCTGAGGAGAACTTACTGGTGATCCCTGGGCCCCAAAGATATCCAGCGGTCCTCGACCAGAGCCAGGGCTTTCTCAGTCCTGGCTCTGACCTGGTGGGACTCTCTGTCAAATGCCATCCGGGCCCTGTGGGGCTTAATGCAATTCCACAGAGCCTGTCAGGCACAGATGTTCCGCCAGGCTTTTGGTTGAGGGCAGCGACGGTTTTCCATCATGGCTGGCACCCCTCCCCCTTTTCTACCAACTCTCCCATTTTGGCTTCCTCTTTACTTCGCCTGTGCGGAACGGGTTTAACACAGTGCGGAACGGGTTTAAACACAAGGTTAGTAACGTCATCCAAAATTATTTTAAGAATGTAAGAAATGTTACTTATTAATTTTAACTTTTCTTGTTTGATGTTTTTTCACTTTTTGTTGTACATCGCCCAGAGCTCTGTCCATATAGGGATTGGGTGGTTCATAAATTTAAAATATAAATAAATAAACTACTTGAGGCTGACAGCTCTGAGAGAGGAAGGCGAGACTGAGCAGTCACGGAGCTCAAGGGAACCGTTGGATAACGAGAAAAGACAGAAGAATCCTTCCCTCTGCTGAGTCCCAGGCATCACTGCACCGGTTGACTATCACCTGTTTTTATAACAGTAACCTTAAAAGAAGTTCCTTGTACTTTAGACCTGGGAACCACATACGTCAAATAACCACCGCTCCCAATACGAACACGTGTGCCAACTCAGATCCTCCTAGCAATGCCTCCTGGCCGTTCCCACACCTAAATGTATTAAATTAACTGCAGCACTGCCTGGAGCTGTTTCAGCCATGAGACTGGCCTTGTTGAACAGCCTGTCTGGAGGGTGCCCACCTTTGTCTTGTTTCCGAAGGCACTGTAAGATGGTATAACAATAGGGTCGATGATCAAGGTTATCATTTCTCTTTCATGGTGGGGAGGTGGCTGAGAATTTTTGGCCTTTTAAAAAGTTGTTTAAATGATTATTAGTGTTCTGTACTAGGAGAGGGTTTTTTGGCACGTGCTCTTCATAAGCTGTTTCGAGCCCCCCTGACGAATTAATGCTAGCACTTTATTAAGTTGTATAGTTATGGTTTTAAATTTATGCTTGATTGGGTTTTATTATTTATTGTACTGTTTTATATTGCTGTAAGCCACCCTGAGCCGGCCTTGCTGGGAGGGCAGGGTAAAAATCTAATAAATAAATAAATAATAGGAAAGCAGAATATACAAATACTTTGGTAAATAAAAAGAAATAGATGTCAAAGGTGAAAGACTGTTTTAACCTTACTAGATACGACTGACACACACACAAGACTACTCCAATTAATGAACAAAAGTCACAGTCGAACTTTCGTGTGCACAGCCTCCTCCAGGTTCAGCTATTCAAATAAATTATAAGCTTGCATGAAACAGGGATCTCAACTAAGTGAAATCGCTGTGGAACTAGAAAATGCAGTGCTAGCTGATATCAAAGCAATAGTCCCGTTGTAACTCATGCTGAAACGCTACTTGGGTGTGCAGGCGACTTATACAGCAAAGTAGCATGAACATTCCATTTTTTGAAATTTGAATCTGAAAGCCAAACTAAACATTACAGTTTTTAACGTGTTCCCTGTACTCAACCCTTTTAAAAACTGTAACGTTTGATTTGACCCTGGGTTGCTAAGGGACCTTACATTAAATTCTCCTGACAGAATTAACAAAAGGGGATGAAGGTAACTATAACAGAACACCAGCCAAAGTAATTTTAATCACACATACAACCCCACACACTCTATTGTGATGGACAATATTCTGAAGCTTGGTTGGTAGTCTTTTCAAACTATACCCCTCATATTTGAACAGGGGGGTGATTTGGCTTTAGTTAAATTTAGATGGCGCCATGTTCACTGTGATTCCCTCCCACTGAAACTTTGCTAATCTCTGCTGCCAGCTGCTCAAATGTTTACACTTGAAGGGCCTTCTCTGTTTGTCCTGAAACAGTCTCTGTTCAGTATCTCATTGGCACAGATGCCAGACTGAAGGCAAGAAAGGGTTTGCTGCTGGAAACTCTTGATTAATAGTCTTCAATGTGTTTTTAAACTCCCCCCCATTTGTCAAATCTATTTTCATTAGATTTTTAATAACATTACTTCAGTCTAGAAGCTGTTCCTAGCTTCGTTTGTAGCTCTGTGGATCAGACATGAATCATACTCAACTGGAGCTGGAGTTTAATTACACCAGAGCAGATCTTTAGGAAGCTCCGAGTCAAACCCTAAGTCTTGCCTCTAACTGTGCAATGCTTATAACATGAGTTACCAATCAGTTGATTATCATCACTTCTGTAGGATGAGATCAAAAGACTTTAAGCATGACCTGGGGCTTTGTTTGAACCGCAGACCCCCATGCCAAATCACAAACTACAATTGAAAGTTCCATCTGTTTCTAAGGCAGTTTATCATGTGGGGTGGGGGCGCTACTCTTTGGGAAACACAAGCACCTTTTTATCAACCAAACTGCATAGTTCTTTCATTTCCACCTACAAGAATTTAATAAAAGGACTTGGTTCTATTAATATAAAATACTGGCAGGTATTTAGGCAGGTGAGGGAGGTGATTGGAACAAGCAGGTAGAAATAAACCACCTGCTTCTTATACAGTACCATTAGCATGCACGACGCTGAGCATAAGCAACTAAGAAGCTACCTGGAGTCTAAACTTAGGCCTACCTACACATTACAAAGGCCTCAGGTTGTGTTCAGGTCTTGCACCAGGACTTTCAATCAGACATGCATTATGAGTTCCCTACTGGGGAGCAATTCCCAGGTATGTGGAGGCCTGAATCAGATTGGGATTGTGGTGTACCATGAGAGGGTGCTTAAGCCTGCACCATTTTCCCGACCTGAAATGGCCCCAGGGGGTGTAATTTGCTCCACTGGGAAATCTACATGTACACATGCCCCAAAAGGGCAAATATCAAAATAGGAGATAGATGTGTAAAACTAGTATCCTTCTTAACTGTCAAAGGTAATAAACTGATTCTGTAATTTCGCACCATTTGTTTCCTCTCAAGAATGGAGTTAATTAACAACATCCTTTCCCCAGAGGTGGGGTGCAGTGCCATATGTGCCATATTTATTGCCTCACTGTCCCCCCATTAAATCCAAACAAATGGTGACAAATCACGTTCCAATTATCTGGAACAGGGGTCTCCAACATGCTGCCCTTGGGCACCTGCTGATCCTTTCCTGGAGCCCACCAAGTGTTCTTACAAAAGTGGGTGGGACCAGGAAGGGCTTTCACCCAGAAAGTCTTCTGATTGGCCACCGGAGATTTGATTGGCTGGGCAGATTTTTAAAAACATTGCTTTGGTGGCAGCTGTTACCACAGGAAAAGGATCTTCACTGTATGACTGAAGTCAAGCTGCGGCAGCCATTTTGTGGCTTGCTCCACCTCCAGTGGAGCCATTTTATGACAGCCATTTTATGGCTGTGCCCACCACACTGTGGCAAAATTCCAAAGGTGCTCATATGCTCATAAAGGTGGGAGACCCCGATCTAGAATCTTCCCATTTTTAGTCACCTGAATACCTCAGCCAGCTTCCCCCTCCTAGATCTCAACACAGAGCACTGGTTTGTCATATTTTTCCTATGTTTCTATGGTTCTTAATAACTGTGCGCAATACTTTGGCACTGCTCATGTTACTCAATGTTATATCATGCATACAGTTTATTATACTCTTCTTATAAAGATTTTTATTCACAGTTGCCTTGGATGTACTCCTTTTTCAGTTACTCTGCAATACCAAATACGGCATTCTCCCTTTTTGTTTACTGGGTTTTATTACAGCCAGATATATAGTACAGAACTCAACTCTTATGATTACAGAACTGAATTATATTAGGACGCATGAAATCGCTCCCTCAAACCTTCCGGCAAGGGAGCCCTTAGAACATAAAGCTTTTTATATGGCACTACCGCCACCTACAGGCCATGTTAATACTTACATCCAGGCTTTGTTGACTTGCTGTAGTCGATTTTAAAGGCTCTTCACCGGCATAATCCACATCCATCCTCACTAAGGAGTCTTCTGCCTGGAACGCAAATTAAGTATCTTACATAACCATGCCAAAAGAAGCACATTCCATGCCAGTTATGAACAACAGTGACAGACCAGACCAACAGAACACCGTGTGGGTGGGAAAGCAAACCAGAGCTCTTCGGCTTTGAAACGGAGATGAGCACCGCAACCCTAGAGTCGGATTCGACTGGCTTTCGAGCAAGGGAACCTTTACCTTTACTTTATTTAGGAAAGCTACTACAGCTGAGTTCATACCACACAACTATTTAGAGAAGGTTACAGAAGAACCCACTGAGGGGCAGGGAGATCAAAGAGCAGTGCAGAAAAGAACTTTAAGACTGGTCAATGATGAATTTATACCGTAGAGAGCTGGATTAGGTTCTGGGAGACCCAGATTCGAATTCCCACTCTGTCATGAGAACTTGCTGGATGACCTCAGGCCAGTCACACCTCACAGGCTTGCTGCTGTGAAGGTAAAATGGAGGGGAGCCCTCCATTTTTGGGCCCTCACTGGAGAGAAACATGGTGGCTATCAGTGTTCCCTCTAAACTGAGTTAGTGTAAGCGAACTCAAAGTTTTTTAGCCTCCAGCTCACAGGTTTTTGAATTTGCTCAGGAAGGATGGCTCCAGAGCAGTAGCCAAATCGCTCGCTCACAACTTTAATGCCAGTAGCTCACAAAGTAGAATTTTTGCTCACAAGACTCCACAGCTTAGAGGGAGCATTGGTGGCTATTCTGGCTTTTGAAGCATTATCACTGAAGAAATAAAGTCTCCTTCCTCCGATAAAAGGGAACCCATTGGATCCAACCCAACACAGAGAAGAACATTTCACGAAGTGAACTTTTTTCTACAGACAAAACTGCTTGGTAGGAGAAGATGCCTACATGCATGGTGTCTAAATTGTCATGTGCTTTTTCTATGCAGGCAACAGAGTCGCACTGTACTAAATGATTCACAAAGTTACTTAGATAAATTATTAAGAGACTGTGGACTATACTCCTGTGTTTAGCTTACTGAAAACTAGGATCCTACTATATAATTTTTGTATCATTTAACATGCCATGTTATGATTTACTCTTTGCTTCAGTTGTGCTTCTAGGTTTGTGATTGGTTCTAAAACCCTCATCCTATTGTGTTGTTTACTGAATACCCCCCCATCCTAGCAACTGTATTTGACTCACTCTGCATAATCTGCCTTGAGTCCAAGTGAAAAAAGTGGACTGTAAATCACAGAAATAAAATCTACTTCTAAATGGAAGGGTTTGTCCACACCATAACGGGTTTGAAAAGCTGTTGACAGCTGTCACCAGTCTTTACCTGGTGCATCGAACCCTTAAATGTTCCAAAGAAGCCCACTGCTGAGTGCTACTTCATGCACAGCATTTTCCTAGCACAGAGAGAAAAAACCCTCACGATAACCTTTGCCCACACAGCTAGTCAGAGGCAGCGCACCAGTAAGGAACAAATGCACAGAAGAGCTCAGAAGGGAAGGCTGTTGCTTGAATATCTTGCTTGTGGGAAGAAAAGAAGGGTGTACACCTCCACTCCACATTCCACTTCCAAAGATGCACCAGCCTATCCAAACGGAAACTAATATGAAAACAGGAGAACAGCCCTACTGGATCAGATAAAAGGTCCACTTAATCCAGCATTTCAACAGCCAAGAAACAAGATACTGCCAACAAACTCGCTTGCGGGGCATGAAACCAACAGCGCTCCTCTTAATGTTCTCCTGATCATGAAAACTTCAAGCTGCCTCACGTGGATTCAGCTGTCAGGCTCGGGATGATTGACCATCTGTACCTGTTATATTACTGCCTAAAGTCTTGATGTATCTCTCCCTTGTTTTAACCTTGCCCTCCCCGCTTTCTCTTAGAGTGTTATTTCAGAGGCCTTATCCCTCGCCTGCCACCGCATTCCTACGGGGGGTGGGGGTGGGGGAGTGTGTGTCTGCGGGAGCAGAGATGCTTGCTGTTGTAATTCTTCTATGAGGCCCCAAAGAGACATCTTTCACATGGGAAGGTGTCCTTGGAGAAATGTCTGTAATTAGCTAGGGATGGACCGTATATTTCTCATGGTCTGGGTAGTATTGCTGACGTGTGAGAATGGAATGAGTGACTGTAACTATATGCACCTTTTCCGCCTTCATCCCTCAGTTCTGACAAGGAGCTCATTCCTTGAACATTTCATATCTTCCAATAAAACTTTCAACCAAGAAAGTGTGTGTGAAGAGTGACTTGACGGACGTATAGCTGTTATACATAAACAGCTTAATGACAAAATATGGAAGCAAAAGTCATCAATTCAACAGTCTTGGGGAAAGGAGTGTATGACTCCTATAAACGACCAGCAATGGAATTTGGAATTCATTTTTATTCACAACCAATAATCTTGTAGTAAAATTACAATCATTTAAAATTTATTCTTAATGCTATCTAACACCAAACCGTTTATTCTTTTGCAAATTTAAGCCCAACCCAAATTGTTGGAAGGGTTGTGGCCAAAAAGGAACCTTTTTACATTGCTGGTGGGCATGCCCAAAGATTTTTAACTTTTGGGAGGCCATACTTAAAGAGATTTCCAAGATGACAGGCCACGATATCCCTAATACGCCCGAGTCTGTACTCCTTAATCACTGGCCCACTCTCTCATTCACCAAACAGACTGTTGAAATGGCAACACTACTAATATCTGCAGCTAAAACTGTAATTGCCCAGAAATGGAACCAAGATGGGCCACCTACTTTGAAACTATGGACTTTAAAAGTCTGGGACACAGTTGTGGCTGATAAGTTAGCTACTCAAATAAAGGTATCACAATTACCTACAAAATCTAATAACTTTTTAGAAAAATTGTTTCCCTATTTTGAGTATATTTCTTTGAGTCCGAATGTGTTATATGATATCCCCAAAAATATATGCATTTTGCATTTTATTAATATTAATTTGGATGGATATAGTTAGTTTTCATTCAATTGTATTACAATTGTTAATTTAAGTATCTATAGCCTATTGCAGTTGTGGTTAAAGTTTAATGCATCATGTTGATGCGCTGGTTTTTTTAATTGTTGTGTAATTTTTAGTTCTGTTGAACATATTATTCTTTTTTATGGTTGTATGGTTGTAAAAAATAAAAACTTTTGATTTAATAAGAGTGACTTGACTGGGACCCTGACATCAGCCCATCAAGTTCAGTACTGTCTACTGAAACTGACAGGGGGTCTCCCAGATTCTCAGGCCAAGGTCTTTCACATCACCTGCTATTAAGTGGAGATACTGAGGACTGAACCTGGGACCTTCTGCATGCCAAGCATACGCTCTACCACTCAGCCCTACTCGAGCATCTGCTAACTGTGCTGCCTCTAAATAGTTAGGGATTTTCATGTACAGGTTTTATACATGACACCGGACGAGGGAGCACTATGATTTTGTCCCCTGTAAGCAGACGAGATCTGTGCAGAGAAAACAGCACGACAGCCCTCAATCACAATCAGTGATTGAACCAAACGTCTTTTCTTTTTTCTTAAAGTCCCCCTGCATTCGACCACACACATACAAACGAGGATCTGTGTCCTTTGCCTTGTTTACATTAGTTGGATGAGAATTGTTTCCTTACTATCATCATTAGAGATGCGAGTCTAGCCACACTACATTTTTTTCGAGAGAAGACCAGATTAGTGTTCATTCGTCATCTTTGAAGCCCAATGTGCATGGAGAAATAAAGTGACATAATGGAGAAATAAGTGACCCAACACACTTATGGTGATTTCCAGAAAAACTGGGATGCAAGTTCAGAGATTTTGGACCTTATTTAAGAATGTAGCAAACATTCCCCATCCCCTACAATGGCCAACAAGTACCTTAGAAAACAGAGAGGAGACAACACTAATCTATCCTCCACCTCAAATCATCTACTAATCATCTATGTAACTACTGTTATGTAATGGTGACAATATCGTGGTCAAAGAACGTAAGGGAAGAACAACAAACGTCTTCTGGCCATAAATTATTATGACTAATATAACTATGACTCTGGAAAGTTGGACTGCAATTCATGTATCCAGCTGCAACAAACTTATATTAAATGTTCTTTTTAAAAAAACAGAAAGACTCATATAATCATTGGGGTAGGCTTCCCAAGTCCCCCCCCCCGGGGGGGGGGGAATCCCCGCCCCACAGGCCTGTTTCCCCCTGCCCCCGAGCGTCGGATCGGGGCCCAGGGGGAAACTCCTCCACAATGTGCGTGTCACCTGGAAGTGACGCGACCACGCCAGGCACGCTGGGGGCGGGGCTACGGCCATCCGAGGGAAAACTCTATGGTTTTCCCTTGTATGGCCGTGGTCCCGCCCTCAGCGTGCCTGGCGTCATCACGTCACTTCTGGGTGACGTGCATGCCACGCGCACACCAGACGCCGGCCGGTAGCCCCACGCTCCGGCAGAAGATCGACTTGGCAACCCTACATTGGGGACAAACACAAACTAAAACAGTTAGTTTAATTTTTTAAAGGAAAAACCACACATTTACCTTACTGCTTCTTTTATTAGTTCTGAAAAATCCCAGAAATCTTTTCTTTTCTTTTTCCACTGGGTCACAGCTAATTGAATTTCTTGTCTCTGTAATACAAATAATACGTCATCAGTACCCCTATCACACACAGCGCATCAATTAATGGGGGACGACGACCAACCATTAACTTTGAGGATGGTAATCGCTAACTGGCAACGTATGGCTGAATACACACAAATGAATTCTAATTTCTGGTACTGCAGTATGAATTGCTCACAGAAGGAGGGAGGGCATGTGTAATTTGTTTCCCAAGCTAATGATCTGAATCCAAACATACTAACCTTTATTTTAGCCCAGTTTTTAAAAGCTGATTCAAAAGCATTCAAGCTTAAAGCCATTAACCCATTTCACTGCATTCTGGTGTTATTGAAGAAAGCAAATTCATTTTTAGAGTATATAAAGTGTGAAATATAGTCCTCTCAATTACAGTATTTGTAATCCGTGAATTCATTACCCGCAATTTTACTTATTTGTGGTCTGATCACGTGATGCAGCAGCCAGCCAGCTTTAAGTCCCACTGCACTGTTGTCGCAATTGTTATGTTGTTGAATTTTCCAGGATATTTGGTTGCATTGCTACTGGGAGGTGTTAGAACCCTGCCTCCCAAGATACGTGCATTTTGTCATTTAGGGTGATCCAAGGAATAGATTTCCTGTGAATGGGAAGCATCTTCTGTATTTCTATTTGATATAATTAACAGTGAGGCCAGAGACTATATTGCACTTTGGCAATTCCTCTAAAGCATCTAGAACCAAAGTTTGCTAGTTTAGTACAGAGCTGCACATGTAGGCTAAACTACACATGGCATGCAAACAGGTACAATGGTAGTCCAATATTCTTCTGTTCTTTAAAAAGTCACTGTGAGGAGGGAATCTGGGAGCAAAGAGAAGGCAGAGGAAATAACCACTTAAGGGACTTATGTCTTCAAGGGGGAAGACACGAGGGGGGGGCAGGGTCAATTCACTGCCAAAGCTTGTGCTGGAGGTGCCACAATCGACTGGAGGGCCCACAGTTGGCTGAGGGCGCCAACATGCCACTGGGGTTCATCTTGCCACCAGTGTTCCCTCTAAGCTGAGTTAGTGTGAGTTAGCTCACAGTTTTTTAGCCTCCAGCTCACACATTTTTGTCTTAGCTCAGGAAGGATGGCTCCAGAGCAAACTAATTTATGCAGTAGCCAAATTGCTCACTCACAACTTTAACGTCAGTAGCTCACAAAGTAGAATTTTTTTCTCACAAGCTCCAGCTTAGAGGGAGCATTGGGTGCCACCTCCCAGGCTTGAGCTAGGCCCCAAAGCAAGCTTGCACGTTTGTTAAACGTTGACTGCCATTGATCCAAAGCATGCATCTGCATACCTAGTGATGGAGTCTACTGCATAAGCAGTGGCACAAAAGAAGGATGCAGTAATCCAAATACATCTCAACACCCAACAAGGGACAAAGCATTCCCTATTTTCTTGTTATTGTGTCAGGCTTCCCAAGTACTTACCATGATTCCTTACGTCAAAGACGTCTTCGCAGGATCATTCCCGCAGGGACAACAGACGCGCCGCACCATGCCGTCGCCAGGAAGTGACGCCGGGTGACGCTCTGGCAATGGGGCTGGAAACTCGATGGTACCATTGAGTTTTCAGCCCCATTGCCAAAGCGTTGCCCAGCGTCCCTTCCTAGCGACGGCATGGTGCGTTACAGAGAGGAATGGTCCGCCCAGGGAGCATGTTTCCCCCACCGAATCGCAGTAAGTACTTGGGAACCCTATATTGTGTCAATGCACTGAAATATGTGGTTAGCTACCATGCATATTTCAGTTCATAGACTGCTAACATGCACTCACCGAGGGAAAGCTCAGTGTCATCTATAATGTGAAGAAATACTATGGTGCAGTACCAGCTTACGGCACAAGCCTAAATGCATTAGTCATCAAAGCCACGCACACACACACACACAAAAAGTTTAAAGGGAACATTGTTTCTCTCTAAGCCTCATCATACAGTACCTCTACAGTTCAGAGAAGGTTCAGATTGAGCTTTTGATGGGAAAACTGGAAAGGAGAGGAAAAGAAAAGGACAAAAAAGGAAGAAAGAATATTAGAAATGCAGTACATAAACCTGGGGTTTTTGCATTTTCGTATAGAGGGTTGGGACCTTCCATTTGCTCCTCTTAGACAGATGCTGAGGCCCACAATCTCTATAGCTCAAGGAAAGGGTGTTAGTGCCTGACCTATATATCAGGAAATTTTGCCTCTGCCATGAACTAGTGAATGGTGGTTTTAGATAAGATACTATGAGCTACGGCTGAAATGTTAAGCCATAAACTGGACGATACAAGTAGTTACTAATTCCTTTCTTAAAGTATAAACCAGCCTCAAAAGTTGAAATATTAAACAAGGGAAGTTGCGCGGCAGCAATCCCCAACGTGGTGCCCAATGGTGCATCCTGGTGCCCACTTGCATCTTTCTCAAAGTATCTCTTGTCCAAAGCAAGAACTAATGCTGGATTTCCTCCACTTTATTGAAGTAGGAGGCGTTTCAAAACAGCCCAGGAGGGATTACTTGCATCACTTTGGAAACAGCTGCCTCCATCTTTGTGGCTGAGCCTTGCCCCCATGGCAGCCATTTTGAGAATGTCCTATCTCCCCCCCCCCAAATGACAGCCATTTTATTGTACTACTTGCTCTCAAACTTCCAAAACTACCCACAAGTTCAACATAATTGGGGGGCCCTGGCATAAACTACTCAATATTTTCACCTAGCTCACAGGACCATTGTTGCACAGACAGCAATGAGATAAAGACTGTGAAATCAATATGCCTGTTTTTATAAGTAAGAACATGGCAAGCCAGTGGACAGTCAACAGAAAAAGATGTTTTTCATTCTTAACGTGTGCTGATGGTAAATTATGCTAAGGGCTCTTTTTGTAGCAGGAACTCCTTTGCATATTAGGTGACACACCCCTAATGTAGCCAATCCTCCAAGAGCTTACAGAGCTCTTCTTACAGGGGCTACTGTAAACTATTGGAGGATTGGCTACATTAGGCTAATATGCAAAGGTGTTCCTGCTACAAAAGAGCCCAACAAGACATGGTTTCTTCTGTGGTGCTCGCACAAGAAAAAGCCGGTTATGTCAAACAAGAGGGTGATGAAAAGGAGGATCCCCACAAAGCAGAGAGGATTACATGGGAAGACACAGCGCTGGGAACTGAGAGGCCTTGATTCGGCACATTCATGGCTGAGTCACAGAATTACTTCCAGAATCTCCATTATTTTGGAAAGAAATTTAATTGTATATATACCTTACCAGGGCTTTTTTTGTAGAAAAAGCCCAGCAGGAACTCATTAGCATAATAGTCCACAGGCAACAGCAGAAACTCATTAGCATATTAGGCCACACCCCATGCCTTCTCTTGGCTTGCCCGGGTGCCCCGTGGCTGCGGGGAGCCTGGGCAAGCCAGCCCTTGAAGGGAAGGGAAGGTAGTTTAAACTGCCTTCCCTTGGCTTGCCCGGGCACCCTGTAGCTGCGGGAAGCCCGGGCAAGCCGGCCCTTGGACAGGTCGGGGAAGGTACGGGGAGGCATTTAAATGCCTCCCCAATCCTTCCAGGGGGGGCCCAGCCCACCCACCTCAGAGTTGCCAAGGGGGTCACTCTCCAGGCCTTTCCTCTGTAGCCATGCATGCACAGAGGTTTTGGCTGTAGGTGTGGCCAACTCGGAAGCGAGCCAGAACTCCGTTCCTGTGTGCTCCTGCCCAAATATAGCCCTGTACCTTACCTTTCATTCAGTTATTGGAATTCCCACACAAATGGGTATCATAAACAATGCCACAGACTCCTGAACTGTAGAGAACTCTTATCCCAAGGGCATAGGCAATTCTTCGCTCTCAATCCAGAAATCACAGCTATTACTGCTATATCCAGACAAACATATCTGCAAAGTAACGTCTTCTTACCGCTGCAACTGAAGCAGCACTCCTTCCTGCTTTGGCAGCTTGATAGAAAAGGCCTGCTCACTCTTTTAATACTTTTAAAAGTAAAAATTCATGTTAATTCCACTGCTTGAATGGAGGAACATGCACTATCCAAAAGGAATTCTAAAAAAATGAATAAATAGGAATCCAGTGGCACCTTAAAGACCAATAAGTGCAACCAAAAAAGGGGAGAAAAACACAACCTTCCACGAGAAAGGTAACCAAAGGTTGAGACAAAGAAAAAGAAACTGATGTACAAAATATCAGACTGAAGTTCTTTAAGTGGTTGTCTAAACTCAAACTTTGAAACTTTATTTCGGTACAAGATCAGCTCCAAAAAATCAGCATATAGTAAAATGCACGCAATGCGTCGAACATAAAACAATGAACACAGATTTAACAAGGGCCCCCTGGAAAAGTAAAACCCTCCTCCAACAGACTCTCCTCCAACAGACAGGCAAAGTTACTAGGATGCAATCAACTGCTTGTATATCCCACACACCCGTAGGCAAAATCTGGCAGCTTTGTGGGTTATCTCCTGAGAGGAGTCTGCAAGGAGGAGAGAGACATAAAGTTGTTCAGCTCTTCCTGGTATAGATGACAGAATTGAAGCAATACACTGTTGTCGAATGTCATTATAGAATGGGCAATGCAGCAGAACATGTTCAATGGACTCTACTTTCTACTTTCCCCGAATGACATGGACAAAGCCATTGAGGGAGCGGCACACAATGGTTATCTGCCTTCCAGAAGGCTGAAGGTAGAGCATTAAAGCATGCCAGGGTGAAGACTCTATGGTACTTGAGATATCAAGGGACCCAAGATAACCTGCTGGTTGAAAACGGCATGCTACAGAATAAGTGGATATTACCTTCGGGACCGCCTCTCTCAGTATGCCCCTAGAAGAGTGTTACGCTCGGGAAGTAAGAACATCCTGGTGGTCCCCAGCGCAAGAGAGATCTGGCTGTCCTCAACCAGGGCCAGGGTTTTTTCGGCCCTGGCCCCTACCTGGTGGAACTCTCTGCTGGAGAAAAACAGGTTGCTTACCTGTAAACTGGTGATCTTCGAGTGGTCATCTGTGCATTCACACCCATGGGATTCAATGCGCCTGCGCTGGATCAATTGTCATTGTAGCAAGCTCTAACGGATTTTCGCGCCCAGACCTCAGGCATGCACAGGAACCCCCAACCACGCATGCCCAAGAGGGGTGGGCGCAGACATCCCGACTGTTCCTTCAGACCGCCGCAAATCAACATCAATAAAAACACAGAAGCTGACAGCAGCGGGGAAGGAGGGTGGGAGGTGTAAATGCACAGATGACCACTTGAACATAACCATTACACGTAAGCAACCTGTTTATCTTCTATGTGGTCTCTGTGCTTCACACCCATGGGAGAATAGCAAGCAGTGGCCTGCCTGGAGGAGGGTGCTGGCAGGTCATTACTGCGAAGCCCAAGATAGGATGTGACGTCCCATGTTGGTACAAGAGTTCTTGCGGACATCAAGGGCGTAGTGCCTTATGAACGTATTAGGGGTAGCCCAGGTAGCGGCCCTGCAAATGTCCATTAGGGGAACTCCCTGAAGGAAAGCAGTTGAGGCTGCAACAGCTCGAGTAGAATGAGCCCTGATAGGGCCAGGTAATGGCTGCTTGGCAATAAGATAGCAGAGGCGGATGAGACCTACAATCCACCTTGACAAACGCTGAGCCGTGATACGAGTTCCCAGCTTGGCTGGAGCATAGGAAACGAACAGTTGACAGTCACGTCTCGTCAAACGAGTTCTCTGTGGGTAGAACAGAAGTGCACGCTTTGTATCCAACGTGTATAACAGCCTCTCCTCCGGGGATGTCGGGGAGGGGAAGAAATCCGGAAGGAAGACCTCTGCCTGGAGGTGAAATTCTGAAACTACCTTTGGCTAGAACGAGATGTCAGGAACAAGACGGACACCATCCGGCAAACATGACAGGTAAGGACAATCATGACTGAACGCCAGTATTTCCTCCACTCGCCTTGCCGAAGTGACAGCCACCAGAAAAGCTGTTTTCCACGACAGCAATTTCAACTCACACGTAGCGAGCAGCTCAAAAGGTTTTCTGGTGAGTTGGCGAAAAACTAGGGGAAGGTCCCAGGGGTCCACAGGACATTTGATAGGAGGATAAAGGTGTAACAGTCCCTTTAAAAAACATTTAGAAAGAGGATGCAAAAAAAGTGTGCATCCCTCAACTTGAACGTGGTAGGCTGAAAGTGCAGCCAAATAAACTTTCAACGAGGAATGTGACAGTCCAGACTCAGCGAGAGAGAGAAGGAAATCAAACACCTTTTCAAGGCCAGCGAAAGCAGCCCTAGGAACATCAGCACCCAAAAAGGAACAAAACTTTAGCCATTTATAGTGGTAAGATTTGCATGTAGTGGCCTTTCTGGAGTTCAGTAGCAAATTCACTATACAGGAGGAAAAAGTGTTGATACTACTCTCCAGGCTGTCAACTTCAGTCATGGAACGTCGTAGGGGAGAGGAGACTTGGATAGGAGCAGGAGATCCTGAACTGGCGGAAATCGGTGGTTAGATCTCTGCTGACAGATCCAGTATGGTTGAGAACCATGGCTGCCTCAGCCACCATGGGGATATGAGGATGCAATCCGCTCTGTCGCTGATTATTTTGCACACCACCCTCGGAAGCAGAGGCAGCGGGGGGAAAGGAAGAGAAAATCTCTGGACCATGGGTAGAGAAGACAGTCCTCCAAAGACTGCGGATCCCTGCCTCCTTGGCTGCAGAACAGAGGACACTTTTTGTTTGCCCTGGTGGCAAAAACATCTATTTGGGGGAACCCCCACTTGCGGAAGAGTGGGAATAGGTAGGTAGGATTTATTTCCCATTTGTGCAGACGAAGTCCTCCCCGACTCAGTTGGTCTGCCTGCACATTCATGTGCCCCGGTATGTGCGTGGCGATTAGGAAGATGTTGTGGGCGATGCTGAAGTCCCACAACCAAATGGCCAGCTCACAGAGGCATTGAGAGACAGTGCCCCCCTGTCTGTTTATGTAGCTGAGGGCAGTAGTATTGTCCGTAAGGATCATGACACAC